TCTTACACTGTCTGTCATTGAGTACCATGCCTGAGGTTTTGGTAGCAACCACAAATGCTTTTCCTTAGGAGTCAGGCTAAGCTAATACGGGATACTCCATTCATAATAGCTGTTATGTCTCGTACTTCTTGTGGCAGTCAGAGGGGAAAAACAAGTCGGGCATCTCACATGCTTCAAGAGCATCTATTAAAATAGTTGTGACACTTTTTACAAGACATTCTCAGCTTCAGATTTAAGGCTGTAACTTCCTAGGAACCAGCTTCAGCACTGAAAGTGATACTAGTCACAGACTAAAACTTGTTTTCTGAGGCTGTGCTTAAATGGTGCTGCACCCTCTGCTCTCGAAATTGTATCATTTACAGTAGCAGTTTAGGAGGAATTCTAAAAATGCGATGTCAGTAATTGGCTTTTTTTCCAAACAACAAATGAGTAGCAACTCAGAAGGAGAAATAGAGCCCAAGTATTCTTTAAACTAGGCACATTCAGGTGAATCATTTGCTATTTTCCTGTTGGTTTTCTAAAAAGAGCTTTATACAATTCATTGTCTGACAGTTGCCCATAGTAAATTTCTGAATGTGCTGGCCAATTTCCAGTGAATTCAACGAGACTAGGTGTCTCTAACTGTAGGACAAAGACCCCGTTAATTCCCTGATGAGGAGAAAGACAAGATGATCTCAACCTTCCTTGGTCCTGTTCCGCTGACCTGGAAGCCAGGGGCTGGCTGCCAGTGTAGGTGAGGTGGGAGGAAGCAGGAGACGCAGAGGGAAATCAAGGAACTGCAGCTGGGACCTGGGATGTGGGAAGACTGGGACATTGTGGTGGGAAGGCAGAGAAGTCAAATCTGTAAGAAAATGGAATTTTAGTTGTCTCATTTGTTTTTAGGTATTAGTGCCTTTTTAGGTATTTGCTTTTGAACTTTTGAATTGAGTTTTTGGTATAAAGCTGTAAATTGTTTACATGCTCCATTGCGATTTGAACATAGCTGAGAAAAACCAAAAACATTGGTCAGTAGTTTGAATGTTCTTTGGTTGTGTAGGAGCATTGTAAAAAAGACATTTTAAGCAGTAAGTCCTTACCTGCAGGATAAAAATAAGGAGGTAGCTCAAGCACTTAAGAACCTGAAAGAAGGTTATAAATACCTGAAGGAGATGAGAAATAGGAGAGAACAGTGAGAAGTATTAGTAGAATGAGGTAATTACTTTCATTGTTTTTTGTTTGTTTTTTTTTTTTTAAAAAAAACCCCACATCCTTTTCCATTGTGTGCAGGCTATCTTCCATGGTCTTGTACAGCTGGTAGGCTGTGGAGTCTCATTTCTATAAGAGTTTCTTGATTTGCATGGATTTTATGTAGTTTCACAGGATAGGGTTAAAACATTTTCTCCTTGCAGAAAATATTAAACTATAAGCTTTGTGCTTCAGAAGAATAGGTTGACTGCAGGGAAAGA